AAAAAAAAAAAAAAAAAAAAAAAAAAGAAAGAAAACCCTGTCTTTACTAAAAATACAAAAATTAGCTGGATGTGGTGGCGGGTGCCTGTAATCCCAGCTACTTGGGAGACTGAGGCAGGTGAATCACTTGAACCTGGGAGGCAGAGGTTGTAGTGAGCCAAGATGGGCCCACTGCACTCTAGCCTGGTTGACAGAGGAAGACTCCCTCTCAAAAAAAAAAAAAAAAAAAAGATTATGCCCTCAACTAGATTTGAGAGAGTGATTTTTATGCTTTAGCATGCATAAGAATTACCTGGTTAGCTTTTTAAAAATTCTGTTTCCCAAGTCTTACTTCTAGAAATTCTGGTTCAGTCAAGTTTTAGAAAGAAAAAGAGTATTAAATCATTGGAATGTGTGTGGCTTGGAAAAAGTAATGCTGTATTTTACTGGATTTGTTTATCAGTGTATCAGGATTAAGTTTGTTATAAATAACAGAGAAAACTCAAATAATAAAGTAGTATCTTCTTATCCATGGTTTCACCTTCTATGGTTTCAGTTACCCAGGCAACCTTGGTGCAAAAATATTAAATGGAAAATTCCAGAAATAATTCATAAATTTTAAATTGTGTGCCATTCTGAGTAATGTGATGAAATCTCGCATAATCTTACTCTATCTCATCCCTGACATTAATCATTTTTTAGTTAAGCATATCCATATATATACTACCTGCCTATTAGTCACTGCTTGTCAAATCAAAAAAGCATGGAATATATAGGGTTTGGTACTATCCATAATTTCAGGCATCCACTGGAGGCCTTTGCATAAGTGGAGGAACTTTCATATGAGCTTATGAAAGAAGTTGAACAAATATCTCTTTAACATGCTTTCTGGGAGATTCTGAGGTAGGTGGTTGGCAGTCTATGTTTTGTGAAATGCTGGATTAAGAGGTGAATTGATAGTCCCAGCACTTTGGGAGACTGAGGATTGCCTGAGCCCAGTAGTTGAAGACCAGCTTGGGCAACATAGGGAGACCCAGTATCTAAAAAAACAAACAAAAAACCCAGGGTAGAGGTGTGTGTCTATAGTTGCAGCTACTCAGGGAAGTCGAAGCTACAGTGATCCATGATTGTGCCACTGCACTTCAGCCAGGGCTTCAGGGTGATACTGTCTCAAAAAAAAAAAGAAAAAAAAGAACTTGATTGAGGGAAATTGGTCTAGGGAGGTGAACAAAACTCTTAAATGCAGAAGGGAGCTATCCAAGTCAAGTGAAAAAAACATTTTTAGTATGGTTTTATCAGTTAATTTTTGCCACTATAATGCTATATAGCATACCACCCCAAAACATTTATTTTTGCCCTCAAGTCTATAGGTCAACTGGTTGGTCCTTCTGATTTGGACTGAGTTCACTCATGTGTGTACTTTCACCTGTGATTGGGTAGGGAGCTCTGCTCGTCTTAGCTGATAGTTATTTGGTAGCAAGCTGACTGGTCTAGTTAGGTCTAGGTCTAGTTAGGTCTAAGCATTACATGCTTAGTAATGATAGAATATGTGGGGGCCAGGTGTGGTGGCTCATGCATGTAATCCCAGCATTTTGGGAGACCAGTGCTGGTGAATCAGTTGAGTCCAGGAGTTCAAGACCAGACTGGGCAACATGGCGAAACCCTTTCTCCATGAAAAAGACAAAAAATAATTAGCCAGGCATGGCAGCATGTGCCTATAGTTCCAGCTACTAGGGAGGTTGAGGTAGAAGAATCACTTGAGTCTGGGAGGTGGAGGCTGCAGTGAGCTGTGATTGCCACTGCATTCCAACCTGGGTGACAGAACAAAAAAAAAATTAAAATAATTAAAAAAAAAAATATGTAACTTGAAGTTCAAAGGTAAAATTCTTTAAAGTTGATTAAAAAGTCATTGCTGTGCTACTATTTTTAAAGTGCTTAATTTTGTTTTTGATAGCTACAACACAAGATAACCTTGATGATAAACTAAGGAAGTTTGAGATTCGTGACATGATGGGATTAACAGATGATAGGGACATATCAGAAACAGTGAGTGAGACCTGGAGTACAGACGTCTTGGGGAGTGACTTTGACCCTAATATTGATGAAGATCGCTTGCAAGAAATTGCAGGTAACTGCCATTTAATGTCTCTGAAAGATCACAGTTTGGTTATTCAAATCCATTGACGTTTCATGAGAGGAAGTACCAGTGCCCTGGTTAACATAATGTGTGTATGTGTTAGCACCATCTGGGAAACTGTGATAACTGTATGGAACAAGACATTTGTGTACTTTTTTATTTTCTTAAATATAAGTAGTGCTTTTTCTTTCTACATTTTATCCCATCCCTTACCCATCCTCCTCCCCACTGCCAAAAAAAAAAAGAGAAAAACCAGTGTTGTGGATTAGATTCTGGTCAAGTGTTGTTTGCAGGGCATAGTATAAGTTCTTAGTCTGTCTCTGATTGGTATATTCTTCTTTTAAGACTAAACACCTTACCTTAAGATGGAAATTCTCACAGATTATACCCATAAAATCTTTCACAACAATATGATACTGATGTTCTCTTTAAAAATGCATTTGCTTCTGGAAGGTTAATTAAATTCCAAAGGATAACCAGATTTTTTTTTTTTCCTTCTTTTTAAATTTTGATTTTTTTTTAATAGAGACAGAATCTCTCTTTGTTGCTCAGGCTGGTCTCGAACTACTAAGCTCAAGCAATCCTCCTGCCTTCTTTTTTTTTTTTTTGTTGTGAAATTTATTGAGGTGCTATGTACATACACTAAAATTCAGTCCTTTGGATACTGTTTTATGAGTTCTGAAAGATATATAGTCTTGTAACCCTCATCTTCATTTTGTTTTTAAATCACGGAAAATTTAATTTATATATTTATTTTTCTTCAAATTTTATTTTAGGTTCAGGGGGTACATGTGCAGATTTGTTACATTGGAAATTGTTACAGCAACTTGTATGTTGCTGGGGTTTGGTACACAAATGATTTTTCCACCCACGTAGTGAGCATAGTACCCAATAGGTTTTTTGTTTTAATTTGAGACAGAGTCTCACTCTGTCACCCAGGCTGGAGTGCAGTGGTGTGATCTCGGCTCACTGCAACCTCTGCCTCCTGGGTTCAAGCAGTTCTCCTGCCTCAGCCTCCCAAGTAGCTGGGACTGCTGGTACCCACTACCACACCCAGCTAATTTTTGTATTTCTAGTAGAGATGGGGTTTCACCATATTGGCCAGGCTGGTCTCGAACTCCTGGCCTCAGGTGATCCACCCACCTTGGCCTCCTGAAGTCCTGGGATTACAGGCGTGAGCCATTGCGCCTGACCTAAATCATGGAACATTTTAAACAAATACAAAAGAGGAACCCAGTGTACCCATCACTTAGCTTCAGCAGTTAGACACACATGGCCAGCTTTGTTTCTTCTGTTCTCCTACCCACTACCCTATTCTCTCCCCTCATTATGTTTAGGCAAGTTGCAGACATTATTTTATTTATAATTATTTCATGATATATCTTTAAAAGATAATTTTTATTATTAACTTTTTTCCAGTTTTTTTCATGCCCTGAAATAGAATTATTCTTTTATCAGGTTTAATCCAAAGTAGTGAAGCCTTTTGAACTTGAGTATTTTTAACACAGATGTGTAATAAAGTTTAATACTTTCGATTTGTATTTTTAAGTAGTGTAAATAGATTTTTTAATTGGTTTTGGATTACTTTGTTCCAGATGCCAGAGTAGTATTGTTCTTGGCAGTTAGCTGTATTTGTGCAATAAACTGTATTTGCAGTTGAGAGGGTTGCTATGTAGATGTGTATTTTCCTGTGAATATATTTTATTGCCCTGAATAGTGACTAGAAGTGCTGGAAGAAAATATATTTTGCCAGTATAGTATTCTGTGGTTAAATATCTCTGAATGTTTTTAATCCCTGTAGGGCTCTAAATTTTGGAACAATATTAAGGACCCCTGTAAAATTTGCTGAAAAATCAAAGCTAAAGCTAGTTGAAATTACTTCACTTAATGATATGTGTTTTCTCTCTGGAGAGTCAGAGGTAAACTTCAGGAGACCGGTGAAAAGGGTCTGGTGCCATTGTGACCAAACTGGGAACTTTGTATTTTTTTATTATTTTTGAGACGGAGTTTTGCTCTTATTGCCCAGGCTGGAGTATAATGGTACAATCTCAGCTCACTGCAACCTCCACCTCCTGGGTTCAAGCAATTCTCCTGCCTCATCCTTCGAGTAGCTGGGACTACATGCTTGTGCCACCACTCCCAGCTAATTTTGTAGTTTTAGTAGAGACGGGGTTTCTGCATTTTGGTCAGTCTGGTCTTGAAATCTCGACCTCAGGTGATCTGCCTTCCTTAGCCTCCCAAAGTGTTGGGATTACATGTGTGAACCAATGTGACTGGCGGAACTTTGTATTTTTACTGGTGGGTAGAGTGGAGTTTTTTTTTTTTGAGACAAAGTCCCAAAATGACACAGCCATTTTTATTTTTGAGACAGGGTCTCACTTCCATTGCCCAGACTGGAGGGCAGTGGCATCATCTAGGCTCACTGCAGTCTCCACCTCCCTGCAGTCTCCGCCTCCTGGGTTCTTGTGCCTCAGCTTTTCAAGTAGCTGGGACTACAGGCACCCGCCACCACACCTGGCTAATTCTTGTATTTTTAGCAGAACGAGGTTTTGCCATGTTGGCCAGGCTGGTCTTGAACTGTGATCTGCCTGCCTTAGCCTCTCAAAGTGCTGGGATTACAGGTGTGAGCCACTGTGCCTGGCCAGAGATTTTGTTAGCTTAGTTTAGCTTTTCTCCACTGTCACTGCACTTTCCACCAGGATCTTTGTTAACCCTTTGCTTCCCACCGTTTATACAGGTGCAGCAGCAGAGAACATGTTAGGCAGTTTGCTGTGCCTGCCAGGTTCAGGGTCAGTGCTTCTTGACCCCTGCACTGGTTCTACCATATCAGAGACAACAAGTGAAGCTTGGAGTGTGGAGGTATTGCCAAGTGACTCCGGTTAGTATGCTATCATTGTTTGCTTTTGCATTTACACAGAAGTTTTAATTAAATGCAAGGTATCCCAGCTTCTGTATTACGTATATTTTGTCAAATGTACATTTTGTTTGTTTGTTTGTTTTAATGGAGACAAGAGTCTCCCTCTGTCACCCAGGCTGGAGTGCAGCAGCGTGATCTTGACTTACTGCAACCTCTGCCTCCTGGGTTCAGTGATCTTCTCGCATCAGCCTCCCAAGTAGCTAGGATTAGAAATGTGTACCACCATGCCGGCTAAATTTTTGTATTTTTAGTAGAGATGGGTTTCACCATGTTGGCCAGGCTAGTCTCTAACTCCTGACTTCAGGTGATCCGCCCACCTTGGCCTCCCACAGTGCTAGAATTACAGGTGTGAGCCACCATGCCTGCCAAATACACATTTTACAAAGGTGAGGTAATGACATTGCTATGAATGTCAAACGGAAAATTAAGTTGAGGGTATTTTCTGTTAATTAAGGGAAAATGCTCTGTTAGATAGTGTAGACTATGATGGCAGGTGCTTTCTGACCCTGTGTTCAGTTATTTTGAAAGCAATTTTCTATAACTTATCAGAGTTCCATGTGAGTCATTGAGTTCAGTATCTCCTACAAACTGATGACAGGATAAGAGTAGCAGCACAGTTCAAACCAAGTGCTTGCCTAGTAAACACATTTAGATTTATCATGGGGAGAACTTGACCCTCTAAAACATGTTTAATGTGTTTTTGAAATACATTGAAATTGAGAGGATATTTTTGTGCAGGTTACTATAAATGCATATGAAGTGTTTTGTACTTTGTCTTTTTATATGCATTGTATTTTTTTACTGATTATGAAGACACATCTTTGCCTTCAACTAAATGTCAACTACCAGAATGCAAATATAAGAAACTATGTATCTGCATTACATTCTGTTGATTTACTTGGTTCAAATTATTATTATTATTATTATTATTTTGAGACGGAGTTTTGCTCTTGTTACCCAGGCTGGAGGGCAATGGCGCAATCTTGGCTCACCGCAACCTCTACCTCCTGGGTTCAGTCAATTCTCCTGCCTCAGCCTCCTGAGTAGCTGGGACTACAGGCACCTGCCATCACACCTGGATAACTTTTGTATTTTTAGTAGAGACAGGGTTTCACTGTGTTTGCCAGGATGGTCTCGATCTGTTGACCTCATGATCTGCCGTGAATCCACTGGGATTACAGGTGTGAGCCACTGCACCCGGCTGGTTCAAAAATTATAAAGTGATCCTGATAGATGTTTTATAATTTTTTTTTTTTTTTTTGAGATGTAGTCTCACTCTTGTCGCCCAGGCTGGAGTGCAGTGGTGTGATTTCAGCTCACTGCAACCTTGCCGCCTGAGCTTAAGTGATTCTCGTGCCTCAGCCTCCCAAGTAGCTGGAATTACGGCACCTGCCACCACGCCCAGCTAATTTTTGTATTTTTAGTAGCAATAGAGTTTCACCATGTTGGCCTGGCTGGTCTCGAACTCCTGACCTCAGGTGATCTTCCCACGTTGGCTTCCCAAAGTGCTGGGATTACAGGTGTGAGCCACCAAGGTTGGCCTGTTTTATAATGTTAAAGCATTCAGATATGCTAGCCTTGTTTGAAGACCAGTTGGGGACAATAGAATTAGCTCACCTGCTATTGAATATTAATAGGAGTTACTTTTTAGGAAGTGGTTGATTTAATACCAGGCTATTCCATACTCTCTTGTCCAGTTCACGTGTTAACCAATAGCATACTCTGTGACATTAGTGATCTAGAAACCATGTTTTCATCTGTACACAACGAACTGGCTTTGGGATGAAAATCACAACTTTGACTTCTTTAATACTTAATCTAACTAGTATTGTTAACTAGCCCAGACTTAGAAAACTGTTTACACTGGTTTCATTCAGGCCCTGGTTGCTTTGTTTATCTGGGTCACAAAAGCTGAAATTGTGGTGTGCCAACAGAATCACAAATGTAACACACCTTTTATTTTTTTCTGTTTAGAGGCTCCAGACCTAAAGCAGGAGGAGCGTCTACAAGAACTGGAGAGCTGTTCTGGACTGGGTAGCACATCTGATGATACGGATGTCAGGGAGGTCAGTTCCCGCCCCAGCACACCAGGCCTCAGTGTTGTGTCCGGTATGTCTGTCTTGTTTTAAGGAGTAGGGATTTGAAGGTGTTCACCCCCTACCCCCTCTCATTTAAAAGTCGTTACAAAGAGATATGTTGTATTTAAGGGCTGAGTAATTTCCAGGAAACAGAATTATTTCCATTGCACCTGAAATCTTAGAGAACTTAATGTGTGGCTTTATGGAGCCTATTGAAGTAATTGGCAGTCTCTCTACAGCTGTTTCTGTTCTTAGTAGCCTGTCCTACTTTGGAATCGTATGATTCTGATTATGTTGTGTAAAGCAAGGTAAGTATATTTAAGTAATAGTACCATAAAGGATATAATACTAAACTCACATGTATAGAGCTTGGACTCAAAATTCAAGAATGTTTAAATTTCTCCACATTTCAAATACTTTGTGTGGTTATTTTGTTCTTCTTCCTGTTTATTTTTTACTATTTTTTTTAAAGGCATAAGCGCAACCTCTGAGGATATTCCCAATAAGATTGAAGACCTGAGATCTGAGTGCAGCTCTGATTTTGGGGGTAAAGATTCTGTTACTAGTCCAGACATGGATGAAATAACTCACGGTAAGAGGGGGAAATGAGAATGACTTAAAAATTGACTACCATCCATGGTTGAAACTGGCACTATGACACATTGCTGGTGATAGCGTCTGTTGATATAGCACTTTGGTACCTACTTTTTCAATACGTATTTAAGGCCTTACATGTTCGTGTTCTAAATTTAGTTAGGTTAGTTCCACTTCTAGGAATCAGTCATAATGAAAAATTCCATGTATAGAGAAAAGCCCTTTGCACAAAGATTTCTTTATAACGTTTTATATTGGCAGAAAATTAGAAATAACTTAAAAATTGAAAAATGGAGTGGCTAAATAATTTTGATGTAACTACTTATTAGAATGTATGTAGCTATTTTAAAATGCTTTAAAGAATATGAAATGACTTAGAGAAAAACCTAGAACATACTACATAGAAAGTTTATTTTTGTAGAATTTTACACACAAGATAATAAAACATTTTTAAAAACCTATGCATGGGCCGGGCGCGGTGGCTCAAACCTGTAATCCCAGCACTTTGGGAGGCCGAGGCGGGTGGATCACGAGGTCAAGAGATCGAGACCATCCTGGTCAACATGGTGAAACCCCGTCTCTACTAAAACTACAAAAAAATTAGCTGGGCATGGTGGTGCGTGCCTGTAATCCCAGCTACTCAGGAGGCTGAGGCAGGAGAATTGCCTGAACCCAGGAGGCGGAGGTTGCGGTGAGCCGAGATCGCGCCATTGCACTCCAGCCTGGGTAACATGAGTGAAACTCCGTCTCAAAAAAAAAAAAAAAAAACCTATGCATGAAGTAAGTACTGAAAATAGCAAAATGCTAGCAGTGGTTTTATATATTGAGTGGTAAGTGTTAAGGTACCTTTGCTATTTTTGCGTGTTTTTTTTTTTTTTTTTGTTCTAAACCATGGTTTTTTAACCTTTACATTGTTGACATTTTAGGTTGGGATATTCTTTGTTGTGGGGGCCGTCCTGGGCATTTTAGGATGTTTAAGTATCTCTGGCCCCTACCAGTAGCATATACCTTCTACCCCCTGGGGCTGTGACAACCAAAAATGTCTCCAGACATTGCAAAATGATCTCGTGGGAGGAGAAGATAGCCACTGATTGAGAACCTCTGTTCTAAACCAGCAGTCTCAAAGCATGGTCTCCATGGACTACTGAAGTCCTAAGACCCTTTGAGGGAGGAGTGCAGATGAAGTAACAACTGTTTTCATAAAAATCAAAGTTATTGTCTCTTTTCATTGTGTTGACATTTGTACTTATGGTGCATAGGCAAAAGTGGAAGTTTTACTTATGAATGTCTTTGATGAAAAAAAAAATCACTTAATTCTATGAACCCTTGAGTGTACACTGTTTTGTTTTTTTGAGATGGAGTTTCGCTGTTGTTGCCCAGGCTGGAGTGCAATGGCATGATCTTGACTCACTGCAACCTCTGCCTCCTGGGTTCAAATGATTCTCCTGCCTCAGCCCCCCAAGTAGCTGGGATTACAGGCATGTGCCACCACAGCTGGCCAATTTACATTTTTAGTAGAGACGGGGCTTATCCATGTTGGTCAGGCTGATCTTGAACTCCCAACCTCAGGTGATCTGCCTGCCTCAGCCTCCCAAAGTGCTGGGATTACAGGTGTGAGCCACCACACTGGCCTGAGTATACACCTTTTTAATATTCTGCATGAAGAAATAGGAAGCACCCCGATTGCATTTTCACTATAATCTGAGATATAATGAGATGTGTTAAGAAGCAGTTATTGGATTATTTGAGTTGTTAGCTTAACTAGCAAGTGTTTTTTTCCCCTTATTTTTATTTGTTTTTTTTCATGAAATATCATTTTTACTTGAAAGAATGACAGATAAACTGTATTATTTATGAACACATACTTGGGTATTTGACAGACATCTCAAAAATTAACAGAATGTGGCCAGGCGTGGTGGCTCATGCCTGTAATCCTAACACTTTGGGAGGCTGAGGCTGGAGGATTCCTTGAGCCCAGGAGTTTGACACCAGCCTAGGCAACATAGGGAGACTTAATCTCTACAAAAATTAAAACATTAGCCACGTGTGGTGTAAGCCTGTGGTCCCATCTTTAAAAAAAAAGAAATTTAACAAAATGATCCTGTTACTTAAAGACAAGCAATAATAGAGTTTGTTGCCAGTGATTAAATTAAAACTTTTGGATAAAAATTAGCATTTTGGAAATTTGTGTTTACCTGCATGAGTTGGACAGCTTCCTGTTGTTTAAGACTTTTCTAGTGAGATTAGCGGTGATATGAAGAATGTGAGTTTAAAAGAGGACAAAAAGTTCAATGATTTGGTTTCAAATTCTACCTTGTAGCTACCCTTTAAAAAGCTATTACTTCTCAAGATGTAGTAAAGTATCAAAGAATAATATCCACAATTTTCTGAAAAGGCTACTAACATATTGTTCCTTTTCCAACTACATGTCTGTGTGAGGCCAGATTTTCTTTATATACTTCAGCCACAACAACATTTTCAACACATTGAAGCAGAAGCAGACATGAGAATCCAGCTGTGTTCTAGTAAGCTGTACATTCAAGATATTTGCAAAAAATGTTAAATAGTGTCATTCTTTTCATTTTTTATTTTGGAAAATAATAGTTATTTTTTGTTTTTTTTAAAAAAGGCTTTTTTATGTTACCATTAGAAATTTTTCTTTTTTTAAAAAAATGGACAGCTTCCCAAACCAGAGTAGGTTGAGAAAGAGTCCCTTGTATTACCTTCTAATGGGTATATTTAAATGAATTAATAAATATTTAAACTTCAATTTTAATTTCTAATATGGAATATCAATAGATATAACCACCATAAACAAAAGCTCTTAGGGTCAATAATTGTTTAAGATGTAAAGACGTTTTGGCCAGGCATGATAGTTCATGCCTGTAATCCCAGAACTTTGAGAGGCCGAGGTGGGAGGAGTGCTAGAGCCTAGGAGGAGCAACCTGGACAACGTGGTGAGACCCTGTCTCTACAAAAAATAACAAAAAAATTAACTGGGTGTGGTGGTGTGCGCCTGTGCTCACAGCTATTTGGGAGGCTAAGGCAGGAAGATCACTTAAGCCCAAGAGGTCAAGGCTGCAGTGAGCTATGTTTGCACCACTGCACTTTAGCCAGGGTGACAGAGTGAGACCCTGTCTTCAAAAAAAAAAAGTCCTGAGACCGAAATTTGAGAACCGCTGTTTTAGGCTATCTTTTATAATGATTTAACTGTAGAACAAAAGTAAAAATCAAGAGGCGTAATAGTACTCTCATTCATTATCAAAAGATATAGCTTCAGCCTCCCCCCAAAATAGCTTCAGACTAAAAACGTTTAGATTAATAGTTTCTTTTTTGTGTTTGAAATTTCCGTCCTCTGCATACTTACCTGTTTTAAAATTATTTGCTGAGAGCAATGTTAGAACTTCAGAAGGTACAACCTTTTATTTATACCCTGTCTGTACATAGTATTGTCCCTATATTTATATTTTATTTATTTATTTTTAAATTTTTAGTTCTTATAAATTTTTGTAGAGACAAGGTCTTACCATCTTGCCCAGACTGGTCTTGAACTCCTGGACTCAAGTAGTCCTCCTTCCTTGGCCTCCCAAAGCACTGGGATCACAGGTGTGAGCCCCCACACCTGATCTTGCGCCTATATTTTTAGATGAGGGGAAGGTGAGGCTCAGGGAAGTTGTGACATTCTGAAAAGTTGATGGTTTAGGTCTTCTGGCACTGTTCTCTTTGCATGAACCATACTTGCATTTGGCCATTAGAAGTAACAGGCATGTAGATGCCAGACCACTTAAATGTAAAGAAAATCTGTATATGAAGATACTAATGAAAACATAAAATGGGCCAGGTGCGGTGGCTCACGCCTGTAATCCCAGCACTTTGGGAGGCCGAGGTGGGCAGATTACCTGAGGTAGGGAGTTTGAGACCAGCCTGACCAACATGTTGAAACCCCGTCTCTACTAAAAATACAAAAATTAGCCAGGTGTAGTGGTGGGCACCTGTAATCCCAGCTACTCCAGAGGCTGAGGCAGGAGAATCACTTGAACCTGGGAGGCGGAGATTGCAGTGAGCTGATATTGCACCATTGCACTCTAGCCTGGGCGACAGAGTTAGACTCTGTCTCAAAAACAAACAAAAAAACATAGAATAAATTGGAAGTAATTACACTTTGATTTTTTTTCTTGTATGCCTCTCAAGTTCTAGTTGATCAAAAAAGGAACCATCAGAGAATACCTAGAGCCCTTTTAATTGAATACTTAGAACCCTTTGAACTATGTTGAACTGTGTTGAGACCATCTGTCCTGAGTTCTAGCTTGGTCTCACAGTTTCCCTCCTGTTTTAGGTGCCCACCAGCTGACCTCTCCTCCTTCTCAGTCAGAGTCTCTGCTGGCCATGTTTGATCCACTGTCTTCACATGAAGGTAAACCAGTGAAATGAAAACCATTTTTCACTCATGTCATAGAGAGGAGGAGGAAACCAAACCCCTTTGTTAATGCCTTTGTTAGATAAGTTGTGTCTCAGTTACAAAACTCTTTTTTTTTCCTGTGTTGTAGGGGCTTCCGCTGTGGTAAGGCCAAAGGTTCACTATGCTAGGCCTTCGCATCCACCACCAGATCCCCCAATCCTGGAAGGAGCTGTGGGAGGAAATGAGGCCAGGTTGCCAAACTTTGGTTCCCATGTTTTAACTCCAGCTGAAATGGAGGCATTCAAGCAAAGGCATTCTTACCCTGAGAGACTAGTTCGAAGCAGGAGCTCTGATATTGTATCTTCTGTCCGGAGACCCATGAGTGACCCCAGCTGGAACCGGCGTCCAGGAAATGAAGAGCGGGAACTCCCTCCAGCTGCAGCCATTGGTGCTACTTCTTTGGTGGCTGCACCTCACTCGTCATGTTCATCCCCGAGTAAGGACTCCTCAAGAGGAGAGGTATGGGACATAGGCCGTGAAGAAGAATTGCGTTCTGCCTGCCTGTTTCTCTTGATATCTGAAATTACGTGGAATATATAAATCTAGGATTACAGATGGAGAGTAGTCATGATTAAAGATGATTCGTCAATCTGATGTGCTCGCAACCTAAACAGCTGTGGTTTTGTAGTAATACTGTCTTGCATTTTTATGACACTTTTAGCTTCTCTCCAAGCAATTTTTATTTATATTTAAACCTTAACAGTATCCCTCTGAGATGTTAGATGAGTTTTTTTCTTTTCTTTTTTTTTTTTTTGAGACAGAGTTTCACTCTGTCGCCCAGGCTAGAGTGTAGTGGCACGTTCTTGGCTCACTGCAACCTCTGCCTCCCAGGTTCAAGCAATTCTCTTGCCTCAGCCTCCTGAATAGCTGGGACTACAGACACATGCTGCTACACCCAGCTAATTTTTTATATTTTTAGTAGAGACAGGGTTTTATCATGTTGGTGGGGCTGGTCTCAGACTCCTGACCGTGTGATCTGCCCACCTCGGCTTCCAGAGTGCTGGGATTACAGGCATGAGCCACCGTGCCCAGTCCAATGAGTATTTTTTATTTTTTGTTTTAAACAATGATAAAGTTATAAACAAGTTGGAAGTACAATAAAAGAACGCTTTCTCCCTATTTTAGAGCAAGTTGCCAACCTGATGCTCTAATACCCCTGAACACTTTAGTGTAAGTTTTTACAAACTGTCAGATTCTCCTGCACCTCATGGTATAACCATCAACTTCAGCAGATGAACATTGATACATTACTACCGGCTAGTTCTCACACCCCATTCACATGTCCCCAGTTGTCCCTATAAATACTTTTTTTTGAGACAGTCTTGCTCTGTTGCCCAGACTGGAGTCAGTGGCATGATTTTGGCTCAGTGCAACCTCTACCTCCCGGGTTCAAGTGATTTTCCTGCCTCAGCCTCCCTAGTAGCTGGGACTCGCCTGCCACCATGCCCAGCTAATTTTTGTATTTTTAGTAGAGACGGGGTTTCACCATATTGGCCAGGCTGGGCTCGAACTCCTGACTTCGTGATCCAGCCACCGAGGCCTCACAAAGTGCTGGGATTATAGGTGTGAGCCACTGTGCCCAGCCTCCCATAACATTTTTTATAGTAAAAAGATTCTATTCAGAATCACAGGCTGCTTTTAGTTGTCATGCCTTTTTAGTCTCTTCAGTCTAGAACAGCCCTCAGTTTTTTTTTTTTACTCATATGACCTTGACACTTTTGAAATTTACAGGTCATTTGTTTTCTAGAATACTCTTCATTTTAGGTTTGATGTTTTCTTATGATTAGATTGAGGTTATCCATCTTTGGCAGGAACATCACTGAAATGACACTTTTTTTCATTGCACTTTGTCAGGTAGCACAGTTTTAATTTGTCCCATTTCTACAGTGTTCATTTGGATAATTTGATGAAGTGTTGTCTTCCAGGCTTCGCCACTGTAAAGTTACTCTTTTTCCCTTTATAATTAATAAGTATTTTGGGGAGAGGGTACTTAAAAAATATGTAACTATACTGTTCTTCATCAAATTTTTAACTTAATCTACCTATAATTATGTCTATGGTCTCATGGTTTTCTGTCTTTTTAAAAGGGGTGTGTGTGTGCGTGCGCACGTATGTGTGTATTTTTTAGATAGACTCTTGTTCTACCACCCATGCTGGAGTGCAGTGGTGCCAACACTGCTCACTGCAGCCTTAACCTCCCAGGCTCAGTCAATTCTCCCACTTCGGCCTCCCAGGTAGCTGGGATAGTATAGGCATGTACCACATGCTTGGCTAATTTTTTTTTTTTTTTTTAATTTTTTTTTTTGTAGAGATGGGGACTCACTTTGTTGCCCGGGTGCCCTGTCTTGAACTCTTGGGCTCAAGCAATCCTCCCACCCCAGACTCCCAAGTATTGGGATTACAGGCGTGAGCCACCCACCATGCCTGGCCCAGTTTTCTGTCTTCGTTAGGGTTTGTCACTCTTCTTTATTTTGAAGCCCAATTGTCTCTGATTGGGCCAGTGGGAGCGCCTTCGGGCTGGCTTCTGAGTTCTTTTGATGCACTGCTGTTACTCTTTGAGCATAGTTTTACTTTCTGGCACAAGATGTTACAAGCGGATACTGTACTTTGTCCTAGTCTGGTCTTTCTCCAAACACCCTTGTTTCTTTCAATGAAAAATGCTGTTTTGGAAATTGAGCTCTGGATACGGTGTTCCTTTGCTGTGGACAGAGCTAGAGAGAGAGAGAGAGAGAGAGTGTGTGTGTGTGTGTGTGTATACTCATGTTTACCTGTATATTTCCTTTATCTATCTTTCTCCATAAATAGGACCATGAACTTACACTGACGCATTTAATTCTAGTCCTGACACAATAGTTTGTTTCATCTTTCTTCCTTTCCAGATTTGTAACTCCTTTCTCCAACAGTGAGAAATCTATTTTCACTATTTTTCATGTGTGTATTTATTCGATCAGTTCCCCTGTATGTAATCAGTTTTTCCTCCCCACTGTTAAATTAACTCTTTCCTGGCACAGATGCCCTCATCTCTCTGCTAGGGTTCTGATAATTCTTTATCCCAGGCATGTAGATGAAAAATGGAAATTAAGTGATTTGTCCATGGTCACTTGATAGGCTAGTAAAGGAATTAACAGTCCCTGTCCTTTGGCATGTTTTTTTGTTTGTTTTGGGTTTTGTTTTTTTTTTGTTTTTTTTTTTGAGATGGAGTCTCACTCTGTTGCCCCGGCTGGAGTACAATGGCATGATCTCAGCTCACCACAACCTCTGCCTCAAGCAATTCTCCTACCTCAGCCTCCCAAGTAGCTGGGATTACAGGCACACACCACCACACTCGAATGATTTTTGTATTTTGTATTTTTAGAGATGAGGTTTCGCCATGTTAGCCAGGCTGGTCTCGAACTCCTGACCTCTGGTGATCCACCCACCTTGGTCTCCCATAGTACTGGGATTACAGGCATGGGCCACCACACCCAGCCCCTTTTGCATGTTTTAATGATGACTTAGTATAATTGGTGATCAAAACATGAACTTTGAAGTTGGTTAGGTCTAGGTTTGAATCTCAGCTGTGCCACATATATGCTGTGTAACTTTGAGGAAGAGGGGGAGATAACTTTTTTTTTAGTCTCATATTTTTCATCTATAAAAAGGGCCCTAATAAAGGACCTATCTCTGAGGTTACTGTGAAGATTAAATGAGATGATATATATTGTTAGTATGCTCAGCTTCTGGCACATGGTACACTTGGTTTTATTATTAGTACTACTGCTACCATCTCTACTGCTCTTCTGGAGTTTATTTGCATTCACTTTTTTCATAAGTATTTATTGAGTGCCTCATTTACACCAGGCTCTGTATTAAGCCTTCGGTTTATTAACAGTAAGGAGATAGTGCCTACCCTCAAGCAGATGACAGTGTGCTTCAAAAGGCACCTGTAAGGCAATCAGAAGAGTTTTGCCTTAAGGCAAACAAGACTGGCTTTCTTATTTCACAGACCTACTTAAATCCTTTTAGCCTGAGCAACATGGTAAGACCTTATCTCTACAAAATAAAAATTAAAAATTACCTGGGCGGCCGGGCACATTGGCTTACGCCTGTAATCTCAGCACTTTGGGAGGCCGAGACGGGTGGATCACGAGGTCAAGAGATCGAGACCATCCTGGCAAACTTGGTGAAACCCCGTTTTTACTAAAAAAAATACAAAAATTAGCTGGGCATGGTGGCACACACCTGTAGTCCCAGCTACTTGGGAGGCTGAGGCAGGAGAATTGCTTGCACCCGGGAGGCGGAGGTTGCAGTGATCCGAATATGCGTCCCTGCACTCCAGCCTGGCACCTATCGCCAGAGTGAGACTCTGTCTCAAAAAAAAAAAAAAAAAATTAGTTGGGCGTGATGGTGTGTACACCTGTGGTCCTAGCTACTTGGGAGGCTGAGGGGAGGTTGGATTGCTTGAGCCAGGGAAGTTGAGGCTGCAGCGAGCTGTGACTGTGTTACTGCACTCCAGCCTGGGCAACAGAATGAGATCCTGTCTCAAAAAAAAATCCTTTTCTTAGTAATTTATCCTGCTATCAATCTCCAAATAAAGCCTCCAACTTTTTCTACAGACTGAAGAACGCAAAGATAGCGATGATGAGAAATCAGACAGGAACAGACCTTGGTGGAGAAAACGTTTTGTTTCAGCCATGCCTAAAGGTAATTTTATAAAATATTAGAACGCTGTATTAGCAATAAGAAGCGAAGCCCCAGAATCTCTTCAGAGAGCCAATATCTCAGTTCCTCTGTGAGACTTGCTGGGCCTGTTTCTAGCTACTTTGAGGGTGTAGAAAATGGTTTCACTCAGATGAATGCTGAGGCAGAGCTTTAGAAATGTTCTTGTTCTTTGCAGGAAGTGGTAGTGGTTTCGTAAATGGAAGTCATGCTTGTCGCTATTGTTTAAATATCACATACCATTGAAGTTGAAATATCATAAGGACTTTTGACATATGTATTGCTATTAATTATTGCAGGCAAATGGGACACTACTGATAATTAAACATTGAGAATTCATCCTTTACATTCCTGGAATAAATTTAAGCTTTTTATGTCTATGTTCATTGAGAATGTTTATATGGTAAATATCAGTGAGTGTTTATTTTGAAAGGTAGCTGTATAAAATTGTTTACTTTTTTGGAACAGCCTGGCATCATTTGAGTTGGCAAAACATCTTTTCCTGAAAGGAGAGATCATCCAGGAGTAAAGATAGAAACTTCTTCCAAAGGCCTCTTCTCAACACGGTGGCACTCAGGAACTCTGGGGAGAGCTGCTCTCATGCCATACTCAAGCCGCTTGATGAGGAGGAGGGAATGAAACTAGGAGTTTTGAATGTGTTGCTTTTGAGCAGAGGTTAAGAGTCAGTGATTTTGATTTAGTCCCAATGGATTCCTGTTAAATCATTCTTCCTATGACAGATGACTCCAAAGCAGATTCTGAAAGCTCCTTTAAAAACCTTCAATACTATTTTGAGGACAGTTATCAGTCAACATTTTTAATTTCTTAGCTTTTAAACTTTTCAGCCTCCTTTCGCTTAGAAATTTTGGCACACCAGTTAACTTCCGAGTAGTGCAGTATGTTATATGTCACACTACTGACTTTATTTAATTTCCAGCTCCTATACCATTTAGAAAGAAAGAAAAACAAGAAAAAGACAAAGATGATCTGGGGCCTGACAGATTCTCAACACTCACAGGTTTGTAGACCCATGGACTTCCTGGCTCCTTCATTCCCAGAGCACATATTTCATAACACTTTTTCTTGGGTACCATAAGCGTTGCCTTTTTAGAAGAGTGTGTCTGTGTGTGTCCAGTGGGGAGTATGTTCTTCATAGCTCTGTGGTTTCCAGTTGGCAACCACAGTAAACCTCAGTGTGCTCTTCCTGCAGACTGCTACCACCATCATCATCCTCATTATCATTACTCTGTTTATGATGAGGCCCCTGATCCTGAGCCTCTAGGTGTACCCTACAACTCGCCATCTAGTGGGATTATGACACAATGCCTTTTAGGAAAGCGTGGTGACAGTTTCAGTGCTGTGCATGCTTTATCTTTGGATCATTGATTGAATAGTTTTCTCTAACAGTGATCATAGAATTCTACATTTATTTTCATCTATAGTTTGTTCTTGATTATTCGGGATCACAGTGAAATTCTGTTTCACCTAATTGTTTCCTTTTTTTGTGATAAAGTGTTTGTTCAAACAATATCATAAATGCCAACCGTTATAATGAAAGTTTTAAAAACTTTACTAATTTTTACAGCTTGAACCATTTTAACATTGCCATCTGACCCAAGGAAAATACAGCTGGGGGTTGGGTTTTTATCTTATTAAGCGTTTGTATTTCTGCAGCTGCTTAATGAGCACCCTAAAAAGGAGAGTTTGAGAGTAGTGTGAATGACCCAGCCTTGGGTTTGATAGCTGTGTATTGTCTCCAGTGTCTACAGAGCATCTAGAGCAAGTTTGTCCAACCCATGGACCTCAGGCCACATGCAACCCAGGATGGCTTTGAATCTGGTCCAACACAAATTTGCAAACTTTCTTCAAACAGTATGAGATTTATGCAGGAACCTTTTTTTTTTTTTTTTTTTAAAAGCTCATTAGCTATCATTAGGGTTAGTGTATTTTATGTTTGGCCCAAGACAATTCTTCCTCCTTTGTGGCCCAGGGAAGCCAAAAGATTGAACACCCCTGGTCTAGAGGGAAGTCCATTTCTTCTTTTTTTTTTTTAATTTTGATTTTGAATTATTATCCTATTAAGTTTTTGTTTTGTTAAATAGTTTTATTTAAAAATGGGATAGATAGTAGGATAAGAACATCCTCCTCAAATAGTTCAGCATTACAGGTGGAATCCCATTTTAATGCATATTATTCTAATGTTTAGTTCCATATATTTAGATGTATTTCCGTATCCTAGCATATAAGTCCTTGCTTTATTTAAAATGGCAATTACTCCAGAATAAAGGGATTTGAACAGCAGGAAATATACTTACAGGCCAAAGTTCCCTGCTGAGAGTAGCCAAGCCTGTCCTATTCAGTCAGTAAATACTTACTGACCATGTGACTCATGCCAGGCACTGTGCTAAGTGTTGTGGGTATTAAGTCAAATCACGCATGACCTCTGTTCTTCAGGACCTTCCAGTCTGATTGGGAAGAGTTGGAAAGACATTGTCCTTTTGACAAAATATTTATGTATTCTTATCACATGTTCCTAATGTTAGACGAACACCAGTGTTTATAGAGTGAATTACTCTTAATGACATCTCATGTTTTAAAAATGTTGACTCACTAATTTTGAAGAAGTTATAAATTATTTGTTTGTTCGTTTGAAGGAGTTATATTTTACTTACCCTCTTTGGGCAGTATATTTTTCTTGGTTTTTGATACTGGAACTAGAAGCTAAGTAGAGTAGAATAACTCTTTTTCCTAAAGTAATTTGTTTTCTTTGGCTGTGATTCAAGCAGGTTAGCTTCCCTACTGATCCAGAAATTTTTACCCAGTCCTTATTAATGACTCATTGAAAGTTATTATTAAACCAATTTAAACATGTTATAGGAGGAAATTTTCTAGTAGTCTGTTCATAATTCTGTAACCCTAATTTTTACTTTGCTGTTATCTCCTAATCTTTTTCCACATTTGTACATGGCTTTTTCTTGATTGAATTAGATTATGCATGTGACTTTGTATTCTTCTTTTACCAAGTTATATTATAAACCCTCTCCCAATTTCTACTAGGCATAGTTGGGTTTTAAATCATTTTTATTGGCTATAAAATAATTTATCATGATTTTACTGCAGTGTAAATGTTCTCTTACTATTGGCTATTTAAATTGTTCCCAATTTTTTATTATGAAAATAGTACTCACAGATTTATATATATTGCTTTTTTTGTTCATTTTAATTATTCTCTGGGGGGACAATTTTTAAGAACAGTGTTAATAGAAATAAAGATTATAAGCAACTTTGTGAGTCTCGCTGTGTTTAGCCATAATGTATTATATGGTCCCTTTTTCAGAGCTCTCAACAGCACTCAAAAATAATAACCAACTGGGTGAAGTGGGCCATGCCTATTATCCCAGTTCTTTTTGGGAGGTCAAATTGAGAGGACTGCTGGAGGCCAGGAGTTTGAGGTTACATTGAGCTATGTACCACTGCACTCCAGCCAGGGTAACAGAGCAAGACCTTGTTTCAATTAAAAAAAAAAAAAAAAACCAATAGCTAAAAAGTACTTGCCCTTCAAAACAAGATTATGTAATGATAAATGTATTATGAGTTTACATTTGGAGAAAGATCGAATTTTATTAGGAATCTCTTATGAATTCAAATACTGTTATAGCAGAAATGCTAAATTACTTTGGAAATCCTCTCTATATACAGTTGCCCCTCAGCATACTCAGGGAATTGGTTCCAGGACCCTTTGTTCCCCGTCCCATACTGTAATCCTTGCATGCTTGAGTCCTGCAGTTGGCCCTGTGGAACCTGTGTGCGAAGTTGGCCTTCCCAGTATGCTTGTTTCACAGATCTCTGTGAAATATAGTATTTTCTTTTCTCTCTCTCTCTCTCTCTCTCTCTTTCTTTCTTTTTTTTTTTTTTTTTTTGAGACAGAGTCTTGCCCTATTGCCCAGGCTGGAATGCAGTGGCGTGATCTTGGCTCACTGCAATCTCCTTCTCCTGGGTTCAAGTGATTCTCCTGCCTCAGACTCCCAAGTAGCTGGGATTGTAGGCATGCACCACCATGCCCAGCTAATTTTTCTATTTTTAGTAGAGACGGGGTTTCGCCATGTTGGCCAGGCTGGGTCTTGAACTCCTGACCTCAGGTGATCCTCCTGCCTTGGCCTCCCAAAGTGCTAGGATTACAGGCATGAGCCACTGTGCCCAGCCTAAATATAGTGTTTTTAATCTGTATTTGATTGCAAGAAACTGTGTGTAAATGGACCTGCGCAGTTCAAACCCATATTGTTCAAGGGTTGTTCAGTTTACTACAATTTTACGGAGACATGTAAACCATATATTTGTTTCATGAAAACAGAAGAAGAGCCTATGAGCATGCTACTTAACTTCTCTATGTCTTGATTTTGTCTTCTGTAAAATGAGAATAACAACAATATTTCTCTGTAAGGTTGTTTGATCACTAATTGAGATAATCTCTGTAAGGTGCTTAGCACAGTTCCTGGCATATGGTAAGTTCTTAATAAATGTTAGCTGCTATTAGCTGCCGTGAAAACACACACACACACACACACACACACACACACGTATATATACACATACATATTTGATATGTGTGTGTTTTTATAATTTTCAGAAAATGGGATTCTACCAGAATGTGACCATTTATGGTCACCTGCCTGGCCTAGGTCTATCCCAGGAGTTTGTGTTTCACTATGGAACTTTGTTCTGTAGATCTATAGCAATCCCTTGCTTTAACAACCACTTAATTAATGACTACCATTTTAGACTCCAGGATAATATTTTTGATGTGCTGATTTTGACAGAGTAATGGTCCTGTCAGTAAACAGTGCTGCATTTGTGACTGTGATAAGCTTTTTCTCTGTGCATCTCAGATACAATTTCCAGCACTCCCCAAGAATGTCTAGATTCTCTAGGAGTGCCTCTGATATCATTGCATGCACAAAAGTGCTCTATTCCAGCAGCTGCCCTGTCATGGTGAGATCTAGTGAGATAGAATATGAATATTATTAGTTTTCAAATGCGTGGAGAGAGATTCATAAAGGAAGAATGGAAAGGACGTTTGTTATTTAAAGGGGTTTAAGTCTAAATTTGAAAAGTTTTTTTTTTCCTCCTTCAGCATAGAGATGTCTGAATAAATGAAGTCTGCATATAAAAATGCACTGTTGGAAGTTCTGTTAGCATGAATTGCTGATAACAGTGATTTGAGTGTAAACACTTTAGAAATCCGTCATCCATTCAGTCTGCGCTGAACTTTGACATTGTCATTTTGGTGATGATGAGAAGGTGGAGCTACTCTTCCCAATTTCCTGCTTTGACAAGGCTCTCAGACCTAGAAATGGGATGAGTAGGCAGCTGCATGGTGCCTCTTAACATTGAGATATGTGCTCTTTTTAAGTCTTAACCTCCTAATCTGCCTTTGGGATTATGCTACTGGTGTCATACTAACATCAGAGTGGGTACAAACCAAAGGGGCTAATTCTCTCACTCTCTTTCCCTTGCAGATGATCCTAGCCCTAGACTCAGTGCACAAGCTCAGGTCGCTGAGGATATTCTGGACAAATACAGGAATGCCATTAAACGGACCAGCCCCAGTGATGGAGCAATGGCAAACTATGAAAGTACAGGTGATAATCACGACAGAGATTTGAGTAGTAAACTTTTATATCATAGTGATAAAGATAATCTGAATTTACGTAGCCTTTAAAAGAAAAAGTAGCTAAGGGAATCAATCTACTACCTCAAAATTACAGACTATCTAAATGTTTAAATTGATGTCCTTCCCTGGACTCTCCTACGAGGCCTGGGTGCCCCTGAATATTCAGATGCCTTAGAGTTGTCATCCTTTGCATCTGGGGTGACTGGCCCACAGGGAGTTGGGGCACACTTTAATGGGAGGAGGTTCTTTTTCACTGTCTACAGCTTTCTAATTGTATCCAGTTATGTACACTCAGTATAGCTGTGGGAGCAGACTATTGGGACAAGTTATCCGTTGTCACCTGCTACTTGTTTTAAAGGATTCTGTTTTTCTCATAATGGAATACTGAATAGCTTTCAGAAAAATGAGATACAGTCACCAAGATAAATGAAGGGGAAAAGTGTATAAAAACATAAATAGGGGCTGAGCAAGGTGGTTCACACCTATAATCTCAGCACTTTGGGAGGCCCAGGTGGGAGGATGACTTGAGGTCAGTTCGAGACCAGCCTAGCCAACATGGCAAAATCCTTTCTCTACCAAAAATACAAAAAATTAGCTGCATGTGGTGGTGCATGCCTATAATCCCAGCTACTCAGATGACTGAGGCGTGAGAATCGCTTGATCCCAGGAGGCAGAGGTTGCAGTGACCTGAGATGATACCATTGCACTCCAGCCTGGGCAACAGAGCAAGACCCTGTCTCCAAAAAAAAAAAAAAAAGTAAATAGTATACTGCATAAATGTGTATTTATGCTTATATGCACATAGAGTAGCTTCTGGAAGTATCTCCAACAAACTGGTAACATGAGTTGGCTCTGAGGAAGACTCCTAGGAAGCCTCAAAGGGAGAGTGGGTAGAAAGGAGAATTTCCTGTATTTTTTTATTTTGAGTGGTTTCCAAATAACAGAAAAATTGAAAGAATAATACAATGAAGGTTCATATACCCTCTATCTAGACTTATCAATTGTTAATGTTTCGCCACTTCCCCCTATGTTTACACACACACACACACACACACACACACACACACACACACACACACACACACACACAGAGTATGTGTGTGTGTATAACTATATATATACACACACATTTTTTTTTTGTTACGGTCTGATCTTACTCTTGTCACCTAGGCTGGAGTGCCGTGGCACGATCTTGGTTTACTGCTGTATCCTTAACCTCCCCAGGCTAAGGCGATCCTCCCATCTCAGCTTCCTGAGTAGCTGGGACCACAGTCATGTTCCACTGTGTCCAGCTAACTTTTATTTATTTTTGTAGAGACAGGGTTTCACCATGTTGCCCAGAAATACAAAAACCACATCATCATGGTCTCTCCCTATATCTTTTCCTGAAGCATTTGAAGTTATCTCCAAAGAATAAGGATATTTTCATATATAAACACAATATATTTATTATATTTTGGACTTTTTAATTCTTTTATCTTTTTATTTTTTTTTGTAGAGGTGAGGTCTCGCTATGTTGCCCAGGCTAGTCTTGAATTCCTGAGCTCAAGCGATATTCCTGTCCCATGCCTGGCCATACTTTTTATTTACATATTTTTTTGTTTTTGTTTTTGTTTTTTGTTTTTTGAGGTGTGTCTCACTTTGTTGCTCAGGCTGCAGTGCAGTGGTGCGATCTCAGCTCACTACAACCTCCACCTCTCGTGTTCAAGCAATCTCCTGCCTCAGCCTCCTGAGTAGCTGAGACCACAGGTGTTCACTACCATACCTGGCTGATTTTTGTATTTTTCATAGAGACAGGGTTTCACCATATTTGTCAGGCTGGTCTTGAACTCCTGACCTCAGATCATCTGCCCACCTCGGCCTCCCAAAGTGCTGGAATTACAGGCATGAGGCACCATACCCAGCTATTCTTAAGACATAAAACCAAATTTGGAAACCCCAGATGTGACCTTGCTGCATTTGTGAGTTGGTCCCCTGACTTGTTCTTGGGTGTAGCAGAAAGACCTCCAATAGGGAGAATTAGGAGACCTGAACCCATAGTCAACCTCAGCCGTTGGCCAACTAAGGAATTTAGAGCAAGCCATTTTCTGACTTGGCAGAAGCCCATGTCTATAAAACGAGGGTATAAAATGTTTTTTGAAGCCTCTTTTTGTTCCCTGGTTCATTGAGTCTGATTACAAGATATTAACTTTATTAAGTTAATGTGAACTTTCATTGTTTTGCATTAGAATAGGATAAAAAGTAAAACCACTCTCTTCTCAGCAACTAGTCTCTTGATACATAATTGTTGCTATTGCTAATTCAGTTAAGTATTTGAAGTTTGTTTTTTCTTTCTTTTTTTTCCAGAGAACTCTTATTGTTAGTCAATGCTAATTTATTCTTGAATTGCTCTGAATATTGCAAATGAACCTGGTTATCCTTTTCCTGGGGGTGGGTTTTGTTTAGAGGTTATGGGTGATGGTGAAAGTGCACATGATTCTCCCCGTGACGAAGCGCTACAGAACATCTCAGCTGATGATCTTCCAGACTCTGCAAGCCAAGCAGCCCACCCGCAGGATTCAGCTTTCTCTTATAGGTATTTATTTTTTATAGGATTTAGGGCTTTAGGGTTGGGACTTTTCAGCACCATTGCAGTCACGTCAAGTCAAGTGATATGTTGAATCAATAAATGTATAAAGCAGGGAGAGAAAAATGAAATGCTATTTATTAAGAAGACTTTGTTTCAGTTGTAGATGTTATATACCCAAAGCTTTAATAAAAGGATTTTAAAAAACTTGGCTAGGCACGGTAGCTCACGCCTGTAATCTCAGCACTTTGGGAGGCTGAGGCAGGTGGATCGCTGGAGCCCAGGAGTTGGAGATGAGCTTGGGCAACATAGCGAAACTCTGACTTTATAAGAGAAAAAGGAAAAAAAGAGAAAAGAAAAAAAGAAGAAAGGGTTTCTTGTCAGGTAGTGAGCTTATCTTGTGCCATCATCAGCGTTTCTCAAGAGATATGCCAGGAGGCATTCCAAATCTGGGTGCTGGGGACTTCTGACTTCTATGTTCCCTCCCACTCTGCCATATAATATGCTTTTCTGATTCTTATAGCACCTATCATGTAACTCAGTGTATGAAAAAAGGTCAGAAAGGATTTGTTGTTTGATTCTGGTGCCCTAAGGAATGGTCCTTGCCCCACACACTTTTATCACCTGGCTCCTTGGGTAATTAGAAAGCCTGTTTTTTTGACAGGCGTGGTGCCAGGCATGGTGGCCTATAATCCCAGCCCATTGAGAGGCAGAGGCAGGCGGATCAACTGATGTCAGGAGTTCGAGACCAGCCTGACCAACATGGAGAAATCCTGTCTCTACTAAAAATAAAAAATTAACTGGGCCCGAGCATGTTGGCACATCTGTAATCCCAGCTGCTTGAGAGGCTAAGGCAGGAGAATCATTCAAACCCAGGAGACAGAGGTTGCAGTGAGCCAAGATCGCACCATTACACTCCAGCCTGGGCAATAAGAGCGAAACTCTGTCTCAAAAAAAAAAAAACAAAAAAGAAAAAGGGAAAAAAGTCTGTTTTTTTAAGTGGAGCATCAGTTAAAAATTAACTTTTTAAAAATGTTTGAAACATTTGGATCCTAAGGTAACATTAATTTATATAGTAAATATTTGTAACATGTGACCATATCTGGATAAATAAATTAATGTATTTTCTACTCATTCTTCAGAGATGCGAAAAAGAAACTGAGGCTTGCTCTTTGCTCTGCGGACTCTGTTGCCTTCCCAGTGCTGACCCATACAACAAGGAATGGTTTACCAGACCACACAGACCCAGAAGGTAAATTGCTACAGGATTGTTTATTTTTTCCTGTGTTTATGGGTTGCACCATATGAAATTGCCAGTATTCAGCTATTTAAGCTCTACTGCAATTCCATATGGCTCAACTTAATATGTTTATATTAGTGTCACTTAGGAGCACTTTGGTTACTGGTTTATTAAAGTATTTTCTAATTGAGAGTGGCAGTATAGCTTAGTTCTAATGATACATGACAAAGCAGAATTAACATCTCAAATGCTGAGAGCTAGCTTAATTAAGCCCATGGAAATTCTCAATAATAACAGAATTCTTGTTTCTTTTATTTAGACAATGAAATTGTATGCTTTTTAAAAGTTCAAATAGCCGAAGCAATTAATTTACAAGATAAGAACTTAATGGCTCAACTTCAGGAAACAATGCGCTGTGTGTGCCGTTTTGATAATAGGACTTGTAGGAAACTGCTGGCTTCGATTGCTGAGGACTACAGGTAATATACCGCACCTGTTCAGCTTTTAAACTTAGTTTTTAGCTGCAAGTGTTTTCTTTTTGATCCTTCTTTCTTTTTTTTTTTTTTTTTGGAGATGGAGTCTCGCTCTGTAGCCCAGGCTGGTGTGCAGTGGCACGATCTCAGCTCACTGCAACCTCCACCTCCCGGCTTCAAGCAATTCTCCTGCCTCAGCCTCCTGAGTAGCTGAGATTACAGGCACATGCCACCACGCCCAGCTAAGTTTTGTATTTTTAGTAGAGACGGGGTTTCACTATGTTGGTCAGGCTGGTCTTGAACTCCTGACCTTGTGATACTCCTACCTTGGCTTCCGAAAGTACTGGGATTATAGGTGTGAGCCACCGTACCCGCCCTAGTCCTTATTTCAGAACTGCATCAAGGCTTCCTACAAAGTGCTTGGCCATATTTTCCTGGACGTAGATTTCTGTGTTAGTCTATTCTCACGCTGCTGATAAAGACATACCTAAGACTGGACAATTTACAAAATAAAGAGGTTTATTGGACTTTGAATTCCCTGTGGCTGGGGAGGCCTCACAATCATGGCAGAAGGTGAAAGGCATATCTCACATGGCAGCAGACAAAAGAGAGCTTGTGTAGGGAAACCCCCCCTTTTTAAAAACCATTAGATCTTGTGAGACTTACTCACTATAGTAACAGCACAGGAAAGACCTGCCCCCATGATTCAGTTACTTCCCACTGGTTCCCTCCCGTAACACATGGGAATTCAAGATGAGATTTGGATGCGGACATAGCCAAACCATATTATTCTGCCCCTGGCTCCTCCTGAATCTCATGTCCTCACATTTGAAAACCAATCATGCCTTCCCAGCAGTCTCCTAAAGTCTTAACTCATTCAGCATTAACTCAAAAGTCCACAGTCAGAAGTCTCATCTGAGACAAGTCCCTTCTGCCTGTGAACCTGTAAAATCAAAATCAAATTAGTTACTTCCTAGATACAATGAATGTACAGGCATAGGGTAAATATAGCCATTCCAAATGGAGAAATTGGTAGAAACAAAGGAGCTGCAGGCCCCATGTAAGTCTGAAATCCAGCAGGGCAGTCAAATCTTAAAGCCCTAAAATGATGAACTCCTTTGACTCCATGTCTCACATTCAGGTCACACTGATGCAAGAGGTGGTCCTTTTTTTTTTTTAAATGGGATTTTGCTCTTGTGCAATGGTGCAATCTCGGCTCATTGCAACCTCCGCTTCCTAGTTTCAAACAATTTCCCTGCCTCAGCCTCCCAAGTAGCTGGGATTACAGGCATGCACCATCACGCCTAGCGAATTTTGTATTTTTTTTTTTTAGTAGAGATGGGTTTCACCATGTTAGCCAGGCTGGGTTTGAACTCCTGACCTCAAGTGATCCACCCACCTCAGCCTCCCAAAGTGCTGGGATTATAGGCATGAGCCACCGTGCCTGGCCAGGGTTCCCATGATTGTAGGCAGCTCTGCTCCTGTGGCTTTGCAGGGTACAGCCTCCCTCCCAGCTGCTTTCATGGGCTGGTATTGAGCCTCAGGCTTTTCAAGGTGCATGGTGCAAACTGTCAGTGGATCTACCATTCCGGGGTCTGGAGGATGGTGCCCCAGTAGGGACTCTGTGTGGGGTCTCCGACCCCACATTTCCTTTTCACGCTGCTCTCGCAGAGGTTCTCCATGGACCCTGCCCTTGCAGCAAACTTCTGCCTGGGCATCCAGGTGTTTCCATACATCTTTTGAAATCAAGGCCAGGCACAGTGACTCACACCTGTAATCCCAGCATTTTGGGAGGCTGAGGCAGGCAGATCATGAGGTCAAGAGTTCAAGACCAGCCTGACCAACATGGTGAAACCCTGCCTCTACTAAAAATACAAAAATTAGCTGGGCACAGTGGCACATGCCTGTAGTCCCAGCTACTCAGGAGGCTGAGGCAGGAGAACTGCTTGAATCCAGGAGGCAGAAGATGGAGTGAGCCAAGGTCATGCCACTGCACTCTAGCCTGGGCAACAGAGTGAGACTCTGTCTCCAAAAAAAAAAAAAAAAAAAAAAAAAAAAAAGAAAGAAAAGAAATTTAGGCAGAGGTTCCTAAACCCCAATTCTTGACTTCTGTGCACCCACAGGCTCAAAACCACTCAGAAGTTGCCAAGGCTTGGGACTCGCACTTTCTGAAGCTACAGCCTGAGCTCTAGTTGGCCCCTTTTCAGCCATGGCTGAAGTGGCTAGGAGGCAGGCCATCAAGTCCCTAGGCTGCATACAGCACGGGATCCCTGGTCCAGCCCATGAAAGCATTTTTCCTCCTAGGCCTCTGGGCCTGTGATGGGAGGGGGATACCATGAAGACCTCTGACATGCCCTGGAGACATTTTCTCCATTGTCTTGGGGATTAATATTCAGTTCCTCATTACTTATGCAAATTTCTACAGCCAGCTTGAATTTCTTCTCAGGAAATGGTATTTTCTTTTCTATTGCATTGTCAGGCTGCAAAGTTCCCAAACTCTTACGCTCTGCTTCCCTTATAAAACTGAATGCTGGCTGGGCATGGTGGCTCACACCTGTAATCCCAGCGCTTTGGGAGGCAAGGTCAGGAGTTTGAGACCAGCCTGGCCAACATAGTGAAACCCTATATCTACTAAAAATAAAAAAATTAGCTGGGCATGGTGGCACACACTTGTAGTCCCTGCTATTCAGGAAGTTGAGGCTGGAGAATCGCTTGAACCCTGGAGGCAGAGGTTGTGGTGAGCCAAGATCATGGCACTGCACTCCAGCCTGGGCGACAGAGTGAGCCTCCATCTCAAAAAAAAAAAAAAAAAAAAATTAGCTGGGCATGGTGGTGGTGGGCACCTGTAATCCCAGCAATTTGGGAGGCTGAGACAGGAGAATCGCTTGAACTTGGGAAGCAGAGGTTGCAGTGAGTTGAGATCGCACCACTGCACTCCATCCTGGGCAAAAAGAGTGAAACTCCGTCTCAAAAAAAAAAAAAAAAGAAAAGAAAACTGAATGCCTTTAATAACACCCAAGTCACCTCTTGAATACTTTGCTGCTTAGAAATGTCTTCTGCCAGATGCTCTAAATCACCTCTCTCAAGTTCAAAGTTCCACAAATCCTAGGGCATAGGCAAAATGCCACCAGTCTCTTTGCTAAAACATAGCAAGAGTCACCTTTTCTCCAGTTTCCAATGAGTTCCTCATCTCTATCTGAGACCATCTCAGTCTGGACCTTATTGTTCATATCACTGTCAGCTTTTCATCAAAACCATTCAACAGACCTCTAGAAAGTTGCAAACTTTCCCACATTTTCCTGTCTTCTTTTGAGCCCTCCAGACTGTTTCAGCCTCTGCCTGTTACCCAGTTTTAAAGCCGCTTTCACATTTTCAGGTGTCTTTTTAGCAGTACCCCCCTCTTGGTATCAGTTTACTGTATTTGTTCTCACGCTGCTGATAGAGACATACCCGAGACTGGGCATTTAGCAAAAGAAAGAGGTTTAATTGAGTTTACAGTTCCATGTCGCTGGGGAGGCCTCACAATTATGGCAGAAGGTAAAAGGCACATCTCACGTGGTAGCAGACAAGAGAAGAGAGCTTTTGCAGCGAATTCTCCCTTTTAAAACAATCAGATCTCGTGAGACTTACTATCATGAGAACAGCACAGGAAAGACCTGCCTCCATGATTCAGTTATCTCCCACCGGGCCCCACTCACAACATGCGAATTCAAGATGAGATTTGAGTGGGGACATAGCCAAGCCATATCAATTTCCAAGCAACATATTTGGATATTTAGCCTGGAAATGTAGTTACAAATGAGCAGTTCCAAATAGAAGAGAGCAGGTTACTTCAGCTTTGCACAAAAGCAGGTAAAGAAATATGCCTATATGTGAGGCCAGGACAACTAGAATATCATATTCCTTTTTTTAGAGGCGATAGGAAAGACTACTTTCCTGGACCAGAGAAGCAGAAGTAGCCTTAGAAATTGCTGTGCTTTTTCCACTGCCAGTCCCCTGCTAATGATTATGGAGAAAAATGTAACTGAGACGCTTAGGTAGTAAGGAAGCTTCAGGGCTTAGGGAATGGGCACTCTGGTGATTGTTACACTTAGACAGTAAGCAAGTAATTGGTGAAGGATGTTTGTGACCTAGTGATGTGTAACCTGTATTTGTTATTTTTAGTCATCTGTAGCTGTCAATTTCCTGTTAAGTATGAGGTCCTTTAGCTCCCATATAAAATACACCACGTATGCAAAGGGGCTTACTAACGTTTAGTGAATTAGGTAACTAAGTCTTAAGCCCCATAGATCCTTCCAAACATGCAAAATGGGTTTGTTCTTCAGCTGGCACCGTGATCAGTCTCTACCATGTCTGCAGCCTGACATGCTACTTTGTATATTTGCTACTGAAGAGAGCACAGACATGCTACTTTGTAAAAGCAGTCTGTGTAGTAATTTTTTTTTTTTTTTTTTTGAGATGGAGTGTCGCTATGTTGCCTAGGCTGGAATGCAGTGGCGAAATCTGGGTTCACTGCAACCTCCACCTCCTGGAACAAGTGATTCTCCTGCCTCAGCCTCCCATGTAGCTGGGATTACAGGTGCACACCACCATGCTTGGCTAATTTTTGTATTCGTAGTAGAGATGGGGTCTCACCATGTTGGTCAGGCTGGTCTCGAACTCCTGACCTTGTGATCTGCCCGCCTCGGCCTCCCAAAGTACTGGGATTATAGGTGTGAGCCACTGTGCCCAGCCACAGCAATTTTTTTTTTTTAAAGAAAAGTTAGGACCCTTATTCTTCAAAGAATATATGTACTGAATATATCTGACGTCATGCAAAGTATTTTTCCTTTTAGGAAACGAGCCCCGTATATTGCTTATCTCACTCGTTGTCGGCAAGGACTACAGACCACACAGGCTCACCTGGAAAGACTGTTGCAAAGGGTTCTGCGGGATAAAGAAGTGGCCAATCGATACTTTACCACTGTCTGTGTGAGATTACTGCTTGAGAGCAAAGAAAAGAAGATCAGGGAATTCATTCAAGGTAACTCAATATCTTTAAGCATCTCCTCAGCTGTAATACTGTTGGGAAGATTTGGAAATACTACTTTGTTTTGCTAGTTCAAGTATCTGCATGCCTTAAATACCCATTTATTTTATGGAATCTTAAACTTTGATGTCAAACCAGCATTTCTGTCTTGGATTGAATGTTTATAGTTTATTTTTTAAATTGGGGACATTTGGATTTATACAAATTGTCTCATTTTTTTTAAACTAAACATTTTTTTAGAAACATATTTTTATTATAAATTTCTTGCACTTTCACATATTTCTTACTTTCTCCTGGTTTAATTATATGGATACATGTTGTCCTAAAATAAACCACAATGATTAAGATCATGGTGTCTGCATAGCTGGTGATTAAAATTATTTATATAATTTCCTTTTTAAAATTATTCAGATAGTTTTTATTAAACTATTTAAAAATTCTTATTTTGCTTTGGAGACTTTCAGAAACTCACAGCAGCTGATGATAAAACTGCTCAGGTGGAAGATTTTTTGCAGTTTCTTTATGGTGCAATGGCCCAGGATGTCATATGGCAAAACGCGAGTGAAGAACAGCTTCAAGATGCACAGCTGGCCATTGAGCGAAGTGTGATGAACCGGATTTTCAAACTTGCTTTCTACCCTAATCAGGATGGGGACATACTTCGTGACCAGTGAGTACTTCTATGCTGAGTGCCTCTGTGGGACTACGTAGGGATCCTACCAGGTAACCCATATTTTAGGCAAGCTATATGTGTAACTTAGTATCTGATTGTAAAAGGAAATGCATCGGTTATCATTTTTCATCTGACAGAGTTACAGGATCAAAAAGAATGATAATACCTAGTTTTCAGGGATGTGGATAGTCAAGCTGGAAGGAGTAGAAATTGGTATGGCCTCTTTGGAAAGCACTGCTGTTTACTCTGCCGTAACTACTTTTCCCTTCCTTCCTGCGATTACATCTTACTCGTCCCTCAGGTCTTGACTGAAGTGTTGTTTTCCTGATGAAGCCACTCCTGACTAGGCTACATCCTGTTAGGGCTCTCTCAGGTCTGGGTGCCTTTCTTTAGCACTTGCCAGTTGCCATTTGACATCTGTTTAAGTCATGGTTTTTCAATCCAGCACTACTGACATTTGGGGCCAGATTGTTGATGATGTGGGAGGCTGTCCTACACATTATAGGATCTTCAGCAGGATCACTGGCCTCTACACACTAGATGCTAGTAATACCCCACCAATTGTGACAACCAAATGTCTTCAGACATTCCCAAATGGCCCTTAGTGGGGAGGGTGGCAAAATTCTCCCCTATTCTTTTTTTTTCTTCTTTTTTGTTTTTGAGACAGGGTCTCATTTTGTCACCCAGGCTGGAGTGCAATGGCACAATCACAGCTCACTGAAGCCTCAACCTGCTGGGCTTATGTGACAAAGTGATCCTCCTTCCTTGGCCTCCCAGATCACCGGTACTATAGGTGCACATGTGACACTTGGCTGACTATGTATGTATGTATATGGAGTCTTGCTCTGTCACCCAGGCTGAGTGCAGTGGTACGATCTTGGCTCATTGCAACCTCTGCCTCCTGGGTTCAAGCAATTCTCCTGCCTCAGCCTCCCTAGTAGCTAGGACTACAGGCATGCGCCACCATGCCTGGCTAATTTTTTTTGTATTTTTAGTAGAAATGGGTTTTCTCCATGTTGGCCAGGCTGGTCTCGAACTCCTGACTTCAGGTGATCCCCCATCTTGGCTACCCAAAGTGCTGAGATAACAGGTGTGAGCCACTGTGTCCAGCCTTGTTTATTTTTTGTAGAGACAAGGTCTCATTGTGTTGCCCAGGCCTGGTCTCAAACTGCTGGACTCAAGCAATCCTCCTGGTTCAGCCTCCCAAAGTGCTGGGCTAAGAGCTGGGATTATAGGGCATGAGCCACCGCACCTGGCCTCTCCCCTTTTCTTAATCACTGGTTTGTGTGATGGTTTGATGAATGTTCTCACCACACTGGCTTGTTCCCTCTGCAAGACCAGGAAATAATGCTTTTATTAACCACTCTAACAGCACCAGGCACAGTGCTTGGCTTCCAATGTATGCTTATTATATATTTATTAAGAATGAACAGCTGGCCGGGTACAGTGGCTTACACCCATAATCCCAGCACTTTGGGAGGCCGAGGTGGGTGGATCATCTGACGTCAGGAGTTTGAGACCAGCCTGGCCAACATGGTGAAACCCCTTCTCTACTAAAAATACAAAAATTAGCTGGCCGTGGTGGCAACGTGCCTGTAGTCCCAGCTGCTCAGGAGGCTGAGGCAGGAGGATCACTTGAATCTGGGAAGCAGAGGTTGCAGTGAGCCAAGATCACACCACTGCACTCCAGCCTGGGCAAGAGAGCGAGCTCTATCCTTAAAAATAAAAAACTTGGAAAAAATTAACCTGGAATGGTAATATTGGTTATTTTGGGGTAGTGAGACTCTAGAAGATTTTGCAGTCTTATTTTTACTCTTCTGTATTTTTTTCTTTTCTTTTCTTTTTTTTTTTTTTTGGAGACAGAGTTTTGCTCTGTCACCCAGGCTAGAGTGCAGTGGTGTGATGTCGACTCACTGCAACGTCCACCTCCTGGGTTCAAGCAGTTCTCCTTCCTCAGCCTCCTGAGTAGCTGGGATTACAGGCATGCACCACCACGCCCAGCTAATTTTTGTATTTTTAGTAGAACTGGGGTTTCATCATGTTGGCCAGGCTGGTCTTGAACTCCCGACCTCAAGTGATCTGCCCATCTTGGCCTCCCAAAGTGCTGGGATTACAGGCATGAGCCACCACGCCCAGCCTTCTGTATTTTCTTGAGCACTGCTTCACAACCCTGTTTCTGACCTCAAGCATGTTAAAGTTGTTACCGTCGTTCTTAGCAGTGATAGTGGCTTACTCTGCGTGACTCTCGGGTCTGTGTAATAGGATCTCCAGGTGTGGGTTATGTTTGTGTGAAATATTTTTCATGGAAATTTTCAGATGTTGCATAGATATTTGAGAGAATTCACTTTCCCGCGAAGTGGGTTAGGATCCTTCCAATCTATCTTCCTCATTTGTTCATGGTCTCAGAGCATTTGACCCATCCCAGTCTTCTAAATACGCCAGATGGGGCCTGTTTTCTCTCCAGAGCACCAGTTTTTTTGGCTTTAGGCATAGAATAAGGAGTGGGGACATTCAAACCATATTGACTACAAAGAGCAGCTTTGAAGGAGATTATTTTTCCCCACCCTCCATGGCATTTCTGCAGGCTTTATAGAGTGTAGAAAGACAACAGAGGAATTGGAGAGAACATTAGCAGCCAGGAAGCTGGGTTCAGCCCCTCTACTGACACCTGTGTAGCCTAGGCAAGTCTTTTACCTTTTTAAGCCTACTTCTCTTCATCTACAAAATGAAAGGTTGGATGAATGGTGGAGGCCCTTCTCCGTGTAATTAATGTCTTTGATTTCTGGCTTTTGATCCTTCCACTTCCTCTCACTTTTTTCCCCCCCTCACTATCTTTTCCTCTACTTGACAAAATAATGTGTCCAAGCACTCCGACTAAGGGCTCCCTTCCTCTCTCCCTTGCCATGCTGTCTGATCCAGAGAGGAAAGACTCTCTCTCCTCCCTGCATCCCCTTGGCTCACTAAGTGTTTCTGAGCAGATTGGAAAGAATACTTATCTGAGATGCTCAACTCTTAGCTGTAATCCATATCTAGCAATAAGTCAACGTGTTTCAAATGTTTTGTAGAAATCAATGATGACTATTTGTGTACCTTATTTTCTGAAATGTATATTTACATTTGTATTTTGGGGTGTTTTCAGGGTTCTTCATGAACATATCCAGAGATTGTCTAAAGTAGTGACTGCAAATCACAGAGCTCTTCAGATACCAGAGGTAATATAGGTTTATATAGCATGGGTAATGTTAACTAAATGCTGCATGGTATTAATCCACATAATATTACCACGTTTTCAAGGAACTGAAATATGGTAAAATATAAAAAACCTGATTTGCACCCAAAGTAATTCAGTCTAACTGCAGTGTTCCCAAAGATGCTTCCAGATGTTAAAATTCCCTAATCAGAAATAGTAGAAAGCCAGCTGGGAGGATCCCTTCCTTGAAGCCACTCCGTGCCCAGGCAGGGCTTCTCAAGCCAGCTCTGCTCTCAGGGGCAGTACCTCTCCATCAGTGTTTTTATAGTCAGGTTTCTGCAGAAATGTTTTGAAGAAGCAGGAGGCTGGTAGCACTCCAAAGAGTGAGAGAGAGAGATGCTGTCTCAGGAGAGGTCATTGCATCTGAATGTGATCTCAGATTACCTTTTAGTCATTGATATTAGCATTTCTGTCCTACACAATAACAAAACGGGAAATTTTCAGGCATTTGAGCTTTCTGGTTGTTTTTGTTACAACCCCCACTAATGAGACATTAATTAGCATAAAATTTTAAATGTCTTTGATTTTTTTAATCTGTTATTTCTAGAGGAAGTACTGCAACAATGGTACATAATTTTAAATTAACCTCCTTATCACGCATGATAAATCTGGTTCCTGTGTAGAGCCAGTTTAAGCTAGTTTTAAGGAAAAGTCATCTTTTGTACTTCTGGAATCAGCTACTAAATGTAGAGAAGTTCCATTCTAGCTATTTAAGAAAGAGAATGATTTAAAATTTTGTGAGTTCTAGGTTCTGTGCTGTTCCCTTTTTCTATTAATGGACATCTGAGTTAACTATTTTTAAATGCAAAGCAACTTACTTAAAAGTTTTTGCCTGGTGCGGTGGCTCATACCTATAATTAATTGCAGCACTTTGGGAGGCCGAGGAGGGCAGATCACCTGAGGCTGGGAGTTCGAGACCAGCCTGACCAACATGGAGAAACCCCATCTCTACTAAAAATACAAAATTAACCAGGCGTGGTGGTGCATGCCTGTAATCCCAGCTACTCCAGAGGCTGAGGCAGGAGAATTGCTTGAATGTGGGTGGCGGAGGTTGCGGTGAGCCAAGATTGCACCATTGCACTCCAGCCTGGGCAAAAGGAGCGAAACTCCATCTCAAAAAAGAAAAGTTTTCAGTCTTTGGTGGAGGGGAAAGGGGCTTGCAATGTGGTTTTACCAAAGTAAAAAACAACCACATTGTCCTCTGCCTTCTGTCATGGAGGTTGCGTTGGTCACTGCCCAGGATTGCCATTGGATTCAGAATCTGTGTATTGTCTATGGTCTCACCTAGGTTTATCTTCGAGAAGCACCGTGGCCATCTGCACAATCGGAAATCAGGACAATAAGTGCTTATAAAACCCCTCGGGACAAAGTACAGTGCATCCTGAGAATGTGCTCTACAATTATGAACCTCCTGAGCCTGGCCAATGAGGACTCTGTCCCTGGAGCGGATGACTTTGTTCCTGTGTTGGTGTTTGTGTTGATAAAGGTGGGCCCCTTACTACTATTATTTAAGGAGTTATGTGGAATTCTGAGCAGGTAGCACAGGGCTTCATGCAACAGTAGAGATGTTGGCTCCTTCCCAAGTCACAGGCTCTGGATTACGCAGAACGAAAATGCCTAATGTCAAGATTTGTTTTTTTTTTTTGAGACAGGATCTCACTCTGTCACCGAGGCTGGAGTGCAGTAGTGTGAACTCAGCTCACTGCAGCCTTCTGTCCTGGGTTCAAGCAATTCTTGGCCTCAGCCACCCAAGTAGTTGGGATTACAGGCATGCATCACCACTCCCAGCTATTTTTTTTGTATTTTTAGTAGAGACAGGGTTTCGCCGTGTTGGCCAAGCTTGTCTTGTGGTCTCGAGCTGTTGGCCTCGAGTAATTCACCCACCTCAGCCTCCTGAAGTGTTGGGATTACAGACGTGAGCCACTGTGCTTGCCAAGGTTTGTTCTTACCTTAGGGTTTTCAAAGGAAAGGATGGGAGGAGTAGATTTCTAGATGAACATTTCAACTTTTAAAGCAGTGCCTGGGCTGGGCGCAGTGGCTCATGTCTGAAATCCCAATACTTTGAGAGGCCGAGGCACGTGGATCACGAGTTCAGGAATTTAAGACCAGCCTGGTGAAACGCCATCTCTACTAAAAATACAAAAATTACCAGGCCCAGTGGCAGGCACCTGTAATTCCAGCTACTCGGGAGGCTGAGGCAGGAGAATTGCTTGAACTTGGGAGGCAGAGGTTGCGGTGAGCTGAGATCACACTGCTGCACTACAGCCTGGGCAAGACAGTGAGACTCCATTTCAAAAAAAAAAGCAGTGCCTGAAGTTCTTGGTTGGGGCTCGGTCTATAATTATTGAGTGAATGGGTGAGAGCTGATTCTTTTTATTGTGCCTTTACCATCTTCTTTCATATGGAATTCTTTGCAGTGCTTGTCATATAGGCTACCAAACTTAGCAATCATCTCTTTCCTTTTTAGCCTCTTATTTTGCAACTGTAGTATAAAAGTGCTGACATCTCTAGTTCTTACTGACTTTAAAATTAAAGTTTCATCATTGGAATGGTTTATTTTGAACATTTTGAGGGTAACCATGCAGTTTGTGTGCACACAGCCACTAAATGATTATATCACTTGTGTTTTCCAGTCAGCTCAGCTCAGCTGTTGCAGTTTAAAGTGTGTGTGACATACGTCTTACTATTTCTTAGCGTTGTGACATTTCTGCAACCTGAACTCTTAGCTTGGAGGCAGAAACCCACGGGCCATGGGTTGGCCATCACAGCTTCTCCTGTTGGCCATTGCTCTTGGCTTCTACAAGTGATGAATCTAGTTCCTGTGTAGAGCCAGTTTAAGCTAGTTTTAAGGAAAAGCCTTGGCTCTTCCTCTTAACCATTTTAGCAGCCTGTGCCCTTTCTCACCACATGTTGAAGGTTAAAAAAAAAAAGGAGATGTTCTCTGTTACATCTGGCAACAGAAGGCATATCATCTTTTTTCGCTTTTTCTTTATCAGCTGATTCTCCCTGGACTTACCAGATATAACTCAATTTGCTTATAGCATTTATTTTGTTATCTAACATTCTGAAAACCTGGGATGCTGAGTAAAACCATAGCCTTCTTAGAAACCAGTGAGGCTAAGTGATTTGCAAGGATAGAAACCTCTAGATGGATTAGCTGAGATTAGAACTTGGGTTGCCTTTCCAACATATTATTGCTACTCATGGAAACTAGAGTTTACAGGTTACTTCAAAAAAATAACTTTGGGATTGTTTTCAAAAAGATTGTTATGTCTTTGATAGAAGAACATTCAAAGAACCCTTAAATGATTTTGACAGAGCTATGACATCTGAGTAATTGACTCTTTTTTATTTTTCACTTCTCTAGGCAAATCCACCCTGTTTGCTGTCCACTGTGCAGTATATCAGTAGCTTTTATGCTAGCTGTCTGTCTGGAGAGGAGTCCTATTGGTGGATGCAGTTCACAGCAGCAGTAGAATTCATTAAAACCATCGATGACCGAAAGTGACCAAGACCAGGGCTCACCAAGGCAGCAGACTGTTAGTCAGACAAACAGATCTCTAAGAAAGCGCATCAGCTGCTTTGAAGGGTGAAGATTGTTTTGTATAATATTGTACATCATCAGGCATTTTAAAGCAGATCTTTACTAAACAGGTTAATGAGCTAACAAGCAGGTTCTCTCGTCTTTGGGCTCTTTCCTTTCTGAGTTGCATATTCTATTTTCTTGTCCCCAAGTAGAGACTAGTACTACAAAAAGGGACCACGTTTTTCAGGTAATTTCTAAATATTAAAAAACAGAAAAAAAAATCTTAGAAAATTTCTAGACCCCCATTCTAGATCCCCTTTCTTTCCTTTTATTTTAAAAAAGAACAGTACTCCTCTTTTAAGATGCTATCTTATTAATATGCATCTAATGGAAAGAAGACATGAGTTGCACTGAGGATTATAATAGTGGTGCATTAGTGGCATTACCTATAAATACACTCACCTAAATTGAAAAGCTAAGAAGGAAATGTAAATATAATATATATTTATATTTGATGTAATATGGACATCTGCAGATTCTAATAAACAAGGACTATTGCTGATAGTAGGCCGTGACATACTGTCTTGTGAAATGGTTTCCTTGACAAAATTTAAGCTGAGCTTAAAAGCAAAAAACAAGAAGTACACAGAAATATTTATTAAAGTGTAATACAGTTTATCGAACTTTCTAGGTATGGAGTTTGACGCACAGGGCTGCCTTTAATGAGTGTGAAAGTCACTAAGTCACGCAGACATCTCACCTTGGAAGTTTGTGAGCCTGCATGTAGGGGATAGACTGATTACCGTACATGGTAAAAAGGAACAGTGGATAGCTAATACTTATGGTGGTTCTTCTCCTCTGAAATAATATACTGCAGAAATCCCAGACAGAGCTCCTTACAACCTTTAATTGTAATATATTTTTGATGATTATTCACATTGAATGCACAGACCAGGAATTCAGTGAATGTCATTTTTTTAAAAAACTAATTTGTATTGTCTGCTCTAGTGATACAAGTTTTACTAGTTATAAACTATTTTAATCAACCATTCTATTCTTATGGAAAAAAATCTATTTTGGCAGGTTTCTGTGCCTTTATTTCCCTCTTCTGAAAAAAAGTCTGTGTTTTCATAGTTTGATTTGCATTGTATATCAATAATTAATCAGAAATGGGTTTTGGTGCCTAAAAAATTGGCCAAGGAGGCATACCAAAGGTTCAAGCACAAGTCTTGTACATGGACCATCACTGTCTGGTTTCACTTTGTATGTTTCCTAAACACATTTAGCTGCTTTTATAACAAACTCAGCCCCATACTTGAGTCCCTTGTTGTTTGCAGCACTTCCAGGCATCTTTTAAGGAAACTGTGACAAACAGCCTCAGGCAGATGAATTTGGAGGTTGTCTGCTGTCTGCCTCTGAGATCTCCATGTCTGGGGTTGCCTAAAGAAACTAGATTTTCTTTTTTTTTTGAGACTGAGTCTCGCTCTGTTGCCCAGGCTGGAGTGCAGTGGTGCGATCTCAGCTCACTGTAACCTCCACCTCCCGGATTCAAGCAATTCCCCTGCCTCAGTCTCCTGAGTAGCTGGGACTACAGGTGTGCACCACCATGCCCAGCTAATTTTTGTGTTTTTAGTAGATATGGGGATTCACCGTGTTGGCCAGGATGGTCTCAATCTTCTGACCTCTCGTGATCCACCCACCTGGGCCTCCCAAATTGTGGGGATTATAGGTGTGAGCCACCGTGCCTGGCCAGAAACTAGATTTTCTTCATGCCTCCACCCCTTCTCATTAAGTTACTTTATAATACCAAAATAACAAATTGCATAGGAGTGTAGGATGTGGTTTCTGCCTTCTAGGGAGAGATCAGAATTAAACTAGTACTATGAAATGTTCTTTTGAATGTTAGGTCAAGAGATCCTTGTAGTCATGTACTTCATGGGCCGTAACTGTCAAACTTGCCTAGTGTCACAAGTTAAATCTCATCATAAATACATCATGAAGGCCAGCTGTGTGGTTTATTGAGACCTAGATGGCAGTCCATTTACTTTAGCATTTGATTCAGTAAATGTTAAGCAGCAGCAGACTTTGAATGGTTGAAATTCATTGTTAACAGGATTTAACTCATAAACCGAGAGGTTTTTTTTTCTCCGCAATGGTTGCTAAGTCTATTCCATGTTAACACTGTGGAAATAAATATGAAGATGTGGACATTGCATCAGGGCTCTTTTCTGTGGAAGAGAAAGTGGTGGGATTGGGGTGAAGAGAAGGTGTTGGGATTGGAGGCAGGAGAAAGGGCGGGCTCTGCAGTGTTGGAGCCGGGGCTGAGGTTAGAGCCCCAGAGATTTGGCATCTGTGACACCTCTGAAACAGATAAGGTGCTCATGACTCCACAGCTGGCAGAGGAGCACAGCACAGCTGTTTCAGGGGCAGCTAAGTTTCCCTCTGAAAATCCTGTCAGGAGCAAGGACTACTTTGGCATTAACCATCACTGGTTTGATTTCTTGACAGGTACGTGAGATGGGGAGTGATCTGATTTTTTTTTATCAGGAAAGAGGAATAGTTGTTCCCTAAATGTTTCTTCCTTCACTGCCCTCCACTACTTGTTTTACATGAAAGATTAGTGCGGAAGTGCAAAATCAGCCCAGGAAACATTTAGTGGCCACAAATTACTACATAGAACTTACAAAGTTACTGGATGTTAAATGGAGAGAGAGTTGGCTCAGCTCCCCTGAAATCTTGTAGGATTAATTTATCTGAGGAAGGCCGGGCGTGGTGGCTCACTCCTGTAATCCAAGCACTTTGGAGGCCAAGGTGGGCGGATCACCTGAGGTCAGGAGTCCAAGACCAGCCTGACCAACATGGTGAAACCCCGTCTTTAAAAATAATAATAATTTTTAAAAAATTATCTGAGGAAAAGAAAAATCTGTTTGCATTTTGTATTGATATTATGCTTTTAGAAGTATAGCTAGTGCTCGACTTACGACCACGATTGGTTCCGACAGACCGGTCGTAACACGATTTGGCCGTAAGTTGAGTAGGCTATATGCACAGTACTGTGAAATGATGTTATAAAAATCTTTAAGTCATTTTATCATAATTTTCTTTCATTATTGTTATATATCATAATTTTCTTTGTTCATTTTATGCCATTTGTATCATCTCTATACCATTTTGTTTCTTATTTTTACATTTGTCAGGTTTAAGTAAAACTGCATTACCAGCACAACTGGTTTAATATTTGCAAAACATACAAAATTACAAAATACAGTTGCATACAAAAATACAAAATACAGGTGTAAAAAATACCATAGGAAACATTTTCCTAATTGCAAAACATATCAAAATATATAAACATGTACGAAACATTTTATTGGCCCCTGGTGCTTGGATGCGGATTGTTGATGTCGTCATCTGAGGCAGCAGTTGGGGTTACCAGAGTTGGTTTTTTCATAAACATGGTGAGCTTTGTCTGAATTGTGTTCCTTTTTTTCTTCATAAATTTCATGATACGGATGAAACACATCATGCGCCATCCGTTCAATCCTTGCAAATCGTTCGATGTTTGGGTCCATTGCTTCGAAATGTATAAGAAGTTTATTCAGTAAAGATAAACCGTCTGATAATCCTTTAGTGGTGAACTTTCTTTCTGGCTCCTCCTCTTCTTTCTCTGCTTCTCTTCTTTCTTCTTTCGCCACTCTTTCTTCTTCCAGTTCGATTAGCTCTTCATTTGTAAGTTCTCCGGATTCTTTGTCTAGCAACTCTTCGACATCTTCCATTTTACACTCCAAAGAAAGGTCTTTAGCGAGTTTTACTGTTTTTTCCCAAATCGTTTCAAGTTCATGTTCACTGTCAAATCTGTCAAAATCATTAACATAGCGCTTAACACAATTTTTCCAGATGCCATTCATGCACTTTGTCGTCACAGCCTCCCAGGCGGTAGCGATATTCTTGATACACATCAAAATGTAGTGTTTCCACAAATCTCGCAATGTTAGTTCTGAGTCAGCATCTATAGCAGATATTGCTTGAGTGAAGGTGGTTCGGTGATAGTTGGCCTTTAATGTAGCAATCGAACCTTGATCCATAGGCTGGATGAGTGGAGTCGTGTTTGGCGGAAGAAAAACAAATTTTACATGTGGATGGAGATCGCCTAGATGTGGTGCGTGTCCAGGCGCATTATCGAGTAGCAATAAAATCTTGAATATCTTTCTCCAAACAATATTCTCGAACTTGAGGAATAAAACAGTTCATAAACCAGTCTTCAAACAATCCTTGTGTCATCCATGCTTTACGTTGAGAACGAAAGTAGACGGGCAGTGTGTGCTTGTTAACATTCTTGAATGCATGCGGGTTGTCTGAGTGATAAATTAAGAATGGCTTCAGCTTAAACCCTGCGATGTTCCCGCCAAGCAGCAGAGTAAGCCTATCCTTAAATGCTTTAAATCCCGGCATGCTTTTGGCCTCTTTGTGAATATAAGTGCGTGCTGGGATCCGTTTCCAAAATAATCCAGTTTCATCAACATTGAAAATCTGTTCTGCTAGATATCCCTCCTCTGTAATTAATTCATCCAGGCTATCAACAAGTGTACGTGCTCCTTCCTCATCAGCACTCGCTGCTTCTCCAGTCACTCGAACACTATGCATTTGGAATCTTTTCTTGAATCTCTGGAACCAGCCAGTGCTTGCTACAAATTCTTGACTGTAATCTTCTCCAGCACGCTCCTTCAGAGTCTGAAACAGACTTCTCACCTTCATCTGCACAGTAGAAAGACTTAATGGTGTCCGTTTTTGAATTTGGTCTTCCATCCAAACATATAGCAGTTTCTCCATTTCATGGATGGGCCCGCTTCATTGCTTTGTTATAACTGTTGATCGCATGGGTGCAGAACCTTTCACAGCTTCACGAATTCTTTCTTTATCTTTCAAAATCGTCGACACAGTTGAGTGTGATAACTTCGTATCACGTGCGATCACATTCACTTTCTTTCCTCCTTCGTACTGCTTAATTACCTTCATTTTCGTGTCGAGATCGATGGCCTTTCTTTCCTTCTTGGCAGGCTGAGGCGTAGACAAAGACAATTTCCTCTTGGTAGACATCTTGGGAGGGGTTTGATGAAAAATATCCAAGACACAAAACACAAATTGCTGTACCGAGTCTGGGATAACAGTTGAAATGGTGCATGCGGAGATGGTAGTGCTGCCGGAAGCTGGTCCGCACTGTCATACGCCCAGCTGGGCAATGTTTGCGCTGCCAGACGCGGAGCAGTCATGGCTAGTGATTGTGGTCGTAAAGGCGAATGGTTGTAAGTTGCATAGGTCGTAAGTCGATCAATACCTGTAATAGAAATACAAGTTGAAGATTATCTTTACTTACACAATTGCATTTTAATTTTCCTTGAGACAGTCTTGCCCTGTCGCCCAGTCTGGAGTGCAGTGGTGCGATCTTGGCCCACTGCAACCTCTGTCTCCCAGTCTGAAGTGATTTTCATGCCTCAGCCTCCCTATTCGCTCAGATTACAGGTATGCACCACCACACCCAGCTAATTTTTGTATTTTTTTGTAGAGACAGGGTTTTGCCATGTTGGTCAGGCTGGTCTCAAACTCCTGCCCTTAAGTGATCCGCCTACCTTGGCCTCCCAAAGTGCTGGGATTATAGGTGTGAGCCACTGTGTCCAGCCACGTTGTATATATATTATGTACAATATATATATGTATATATATTATATACGATATATATACAATTTTGTGGCTGGACACAGTGGCTGACGCCTATAATCCTAGCTGTTGGACATGTTTAAAATGTTTGACAGGTTTAAATATATATATACACACACACCATTATATTTAAATCTGTCAAACATTTTGCTTTCTCCATTTTAGGTAAAATCTCAGCCACAGTAATTGCTTTCTTCTGCATTTTCTTTATAAAAACTTGCTTATGAAAGTCTTCTTATACAGATAGTTAAATCGCTGTTGTAGGAGAATCAGGTTTTCTGAGGGATTGCAAATAGATGTGCTGCATGGTTTTTCTTTTCCTGTGTCCTGGAAGCCTTTGTTTAAAGTAGGCTTTATAAATGTGTCCCTGAGGTGCATAAGCAAGAGAACAATCCCAGCCCTAGCACAGGGACTGTGTTTTTACCATAAGAATCTATAGCTGACTGATATGCTGACCCTGGGCACTCTTTTTCCTATTGCTTGCCATGGGAATTTCAGTTTGGCCCAAGTAAGGTCAACTAGGTTTTGACCCAAGTATGGTCATAGGTTTCCTGTGTGATTGGGTGTGAGGAAGGAAAGTCATACACTCAGAATTACTATTGGATTGCATAGAAGTGATGGAAGTGTAGTGGGGTTCACGTCCTCAATTGGTGCTTCCTAGATTTTTCTCTCCTGACTCTTCCTGCTTTGTTTCTTTAAAGAAAAATCTGTTCTCCCTCTTTTTAAATATTTAAGTCTAACAAGCTTATTTTGTACGTAATTGCTTTAATTTTGAGGGAAGTAAATCTGAAACAGTCTTGAAGCCCAAAGGATTTTTAGTAAGTGGATTAACAGTGATGAGATGTTTGATATTTAAATGCCAAAAATGCTTGAGAACTTTGGCAGGTTAATAATTATTTAATGTATTTTAGAATGTAGGTTACTCAGAAAGTAGTAGGACAAGGAATAGCTTTATTACTCTTGAGAACACTTGGAGAAATGAAAATATAGTTTGCTTCAGTGTTAAGTTGTGGTTGAGCTGTGGAGTGACCCTGGAGCTACTTTGTCCCACAGGCCTGAGCTCAGCAAGGGTTAAATTCAAGAGGGAGGAGGTCTCCACTTGGATAATGGCAGATAGTGTGGGTAGGAACCACACACTGGGGGAATTCATCTCTGTCAAATTAATACTCTCCTGTCTACTGGATTCTTCTTGTGCTTCATCTGGATTAAAAAGCTGTACTGCCTCTTGAAACTGATAAAACCTTTCCATAAGTCTCAATGAGCTTGCACAATCTTGTATATGTACAGGAAACCCACCTGTCTCCTAATGTGATTAGTACTGTAAAACATTCTATAAAACTGATTAAAAGAGGGAGAGCAGTTTGATTCACTGGGTTTTATGTTTCTATCATCTATTTTATATTTTATATTCAGAAGCATTTCTGAAAATATTTGACTTCCTAATGTTCTGATGTTCTCAATGAATTCATACTCATCGTTTTCATCTGAACAATAAGGG